TCTTTGCAAGCTTGGGAAAACATCGACTCCACCTAAGCGAGACAGGCCATTGTCTACTACCCCACCACGAATCAGAAGCATAGCTACCCCACATCCCAACAATGAGGTTAAAACAGACGCCATTGGCCATTGGCCTGTGGTAGAAGCTAAGAGACAGCGATGTCGTTTCCCTGGGTGTGATAGCAAGCCGGTAATCAGATGTACCAAATGCGGAGTATATTTATGCTTAAACAAAGCCAAAAATTGCTTTGCGTGGTACCATGGCGTATATTAATGACCAACAGTACGGTCTACTGAACATTTTCTGTTGTCCGATTTCGTTTATTTTGAATTGAATTTGTTATATTTCCATTCGTATCAGTCGCAATACGTGTGAGTATTGACCCAATAAATTCATCACGTGGACGAGTGTATCGATTTCGTGACAAAATTTTTTCTCCCAAATGGGGGGTAAGATAAAAAAAATAAGTTTAAATTCGTATTCTACGGCCTTGAATTAGCAAATAACCGTAGCGGCGATTTTTTTCTTTCAGCGGATCATAACTCCGGCATTAAGTGGTTATATGCCCCTCAAAACACACACACACACACTTCTTTTTCCTCGTTGTTCCGCACTATCTTTCTGTTATCATCGCTTGAATATTTTTAAAAAACAAAGCGTGCGTCGGGCCGTTTTGACACTTACCGGTGACAAACCCTGGACACGTGATCGTACTGATCACATGACGTCATTTCTATACCGACACTCCTTGGCGTTTCTAGATACAACCTTGAAACTTCGTGATTTCAACAAACATCATTCCCGACATCGGGATTTAATTTTCGGAATCTTAATCCCTAGTTGGAATAGCTAACAAAACTTAAAGATATTCTGCCAATAAATATAAAAATCTGCCGATGGTGCAGTGCAATGTTACCCAACCTATAATTGAAATGATTAGATCCACCGCAGGCTGGAAAGTCAGGTTTTAAAAGACCCGACAGATAGGGAAAACGACATCAACTAGGTACTTAAAAGGACGGAGTTTTACTCTGATTCAATAGATTGTAAAACGCTGAAAAAGTTGGAATATCTTGCGATATCATGGCATCCACGAACTCGCCGCAATGAACTTCCATTTTTTTCACGCCTACCGATATGCTGCAACGTTTGAAAAATGGGGCTTTGGCGTCGAAAATAGGAACCGTTAAGCACCGAGGTTGTTCCCTCTAATCTCTGCCTTTCAAAGACACCTTCTAGTAAATCAGGGCCGAGGGGGGACTTAAAAATAACATACACCAAAAAATTGAGCGGTCTGGCAAAGCCTCATTTTGGCTATACAGGCCATAATACAACCGAAGATTCAAATAATTAATGTAAAACACGGAAAAATATTCAGAAACAATCTTCAGTTAATCTTGTAGTCTATAGGTCCTGAAAGTAAATGCAAATTGCAATAATATTGAGGGTATAGTGGAACTAATTATTGCACCATGTCTACATTCCCATCTGTTCTGGTTTAAAAGTGCTTGCAAAGTCTGTGACCATGGTTATTGTAAGGACATATCATAAACCGCATATACTATTAAGTTAGTGGTTACGAAAGCAAAGCTTAAGTCCGTGACCTGTACATGTTTAATGTACATAATCTATAGAACAGTTAACAAATATATAAGACCAACTAATAAGCGTCGGTGATTGGTTGAAACTCTTCGCACATATTTTTTACGCTTTTATCCAGGACCTCGAATTTTATGGTATATTGCAAATTATACAACTTTAATGTTCAAATATGAATTTTATTACCCCTGCATCTGATGGCATAGAGAAGTCAGTTAAGTTATCTGCTTGCATGTCGAAGCTTGGAAAATTAAAATTGATCTTTGTATGTAAGAACAATTTAGCCCAATTGGCGTTGCCATATTCGAATAGGAAATATATCAGAGCAATTTCCCGTCAATTCAGTGAAGGCTGCTGAGCAAAATTTTTATTTTCCCCACCGTGATATTTTACTGCTTTCATTTGACTGCTATACTTTAGTTAGAAACTCTTCACAGAAAAAACAAATGGTGCCGGGAGTAAAGACTTATACAAGATAGCCACCATCCTAAATAAATGAAACGCTTTGCTTGTTATCAGAGTTTGTGTTACAAAGTTTCTGTCGTCATTCTAGTTGAGCTCTCTGTATTTGTATGCAGGAAAATCCCGTAGAATCCTTCTGTAATTTTTTGTATTGGTAGGATTTTATGATAAATATAGTGCAGTGTACTGCGCAGACACAAAGAATATCAAGATATTTACCTATATTTCAAATCTGTGAAATGTATAATTGATCCTAAAAAGCATAAACAATGTAGCCTCCGCTACAATGCCGTGATGAAAGAAATATGTTTTTATTCGTGATGCCAAATGAACGATTCTGTTCAGCAAAATATTTCATAAAATATCTCTGCAATCAAAAATGCCACCACAGGGTTTTTTCAGATATATGCACATGTTCTATAAAGAAAGCAATAAAATGTCGAAGAATAGAACAAATCATGTTTTCTATTTCAAGTCTCCAGTATAATGATTTACGTGAGAGAGTCCATATTCTGAAAGTCATATGAAGGCATTAATTTTACATCGATAAGAGATACATTAAAACAAATTGAGATATGTAACTTTAACTACGGACGTGTTCTCTTTGATAAACGTTACAATGAATGGGATAAAAACACTGATATAAAAATAAATTCCATTAGTCAATATGGTATAATGAAGCGTGAAATTATATATTTTAAAAATTTCACCAAAAGTAATTCGTTATTTTAGCACTAAATGAGGGACCTCAAAGCTCTTAAATTTAGTTGACAATTCATATCTTTTTGAGTCGAATATGTAGATAATATCGGCCACATACGAGCATCTCACAAATTTGCAATCCTGATTTTAATTATATAGTTTATTTAGAATTGCTGTATTAATACAGAAATATCTTATAGGTTTATGTCTGTAATATAAAAATAAAATAACCATATAACGACATTGAATTAAAAAACACAATGTCATGCCATTAAACCTTGTCCTGCATTTATTTTTTGTCAGTATTTTTTATATCTTATATCCATGAGACGACAAAATGAAATGATTGTATAAGCTCAGCAAATGTAAAATCGATCCTCAGAAGCATAAACAATTTTGCTGTGCAATATTCGGCTTTCAAAAACCGTACGTCTTGCTTAATTAAAGTACAAAGTCATAACAAAACCTAGGTTGCAGTCGAAATATTTGCGTTTGTTTAAATCACGATGTCGCTCTGCAAAATATTACAATGAGCAACACGAGTCGGAAGAGTCCTTCAATATTTAAATACTGTTCTTGCATATTGGCGAATCATTGTTACATAGATCATCTTGCGAAGATTGTGAGATCGGCTTCAACCAATATCTTATTCCATAATGAGTACATAGGGAGTGAGAAAGAATACCTTTTTTTGATATGGGGAATAACGGGGATATATATATATATATATATCATCTATCTTATATTTATAGGATATATATATTTATATATCTTTTAAAGTCATTGATATAGGGATGTCGGATATTTTGGGTATTTAATAGCAAATTAGGTAATATCTAACACAGTATCTTTTTTGCTAGTACATAGCATCTCGTATCTTTCTCGGAACTCACTAAATTTGTTGATCTTAAGTCTTTGGCAAATACTGGAAGAAACCGTTGGTTGCGTATTTGTATTACTTGTCAGTTTGCTTTTTTTAGTCATCCTGACAAAAGCAAGTTGTACATCACGCTCCATTTCCTCTGGAATTCATGATATAGACTGGGAAAAGGTAAAACCTGAAGTTCAGTTGGAAACTACTATTTTATGTTTCACATTGTTTTTAATTGGCATATCGTTTATATAATGGTTATCAGTACCTAAAATATTAGAAAAACCAATTTTTTAATAAAGTTCCGATTATACTATTACTAATTTTTGCTAAATTCTGGGGTATATTCTTGCATGTGGCCAATAATATTTCTAACAATTTTTCATTCAAATGCAGCCCATTATATATATGCAACAGATTATGAACTATTTTTATGAGTTGTATACTTTACTAATCATGCTGCTGTAGTATTCGTGTTTATACAGTTCATAACTTTTTGTCACAGGTTCAATCGAAAGCTCCATGGTATGATGTTATTGACATTCCACGCCCTCAGGAACCTGTTGGATGTTGGAAGTTTAATAATTTTACTGATGAAGGAGACATTATCGTTATAACCGCAGAGAGCTTCAGTAACGGGAGGCAAGTAAAGAATAAACACCGAATACAGGGTCCAATGAAAGGGAGCCCATATATTTTCTAACACATTCTATAAAAATAGAAAATATATTTAGTTTTGTTTGCACTTTAACTTATGTTTAAGAATGATTATACCCCAAAATTTTGGGAATCTAGGACGTTTTGAACAACAAAAATTATGTTCTCTTTGGAAGGTGGACAAATGACCTTCTTGGCGTTAGATACAGACTTGTGTATCTGTTGCGCAAAATAGTTAATCGCTCAACCGATGGTGCCGGGGAAGAGAACAGAATTTTTGAGAAAAACGTGCTAGATTTCTGAATAAAAGAGTGCATCATATACACATAGAAGTCCACGGATATAAAATTAAACAATTCACTCCATTAGAAGTAATTATTAAGGTTCAGGTTCCGCTTTATTTTGTGTTAATCCGTACACCTAATAGGACTTAAACGTTAGACCTTGTTTATCATACAACGCATCTTACGATGTCTCTAAATAGCATATTGAAGTTATTCTGCCACTCGATAACATCACTGGAAATTTTCAGAATTTTTATTTGAATTTGTGATAAAAAAAATACCAACTCAATATTAAGTCATAAATATTGGGGAAGTCCATTGATCGCTTGGTCGGTTCCAAGTATTACATCTATAAAATCACTTTAATTGTGGAAAGTAGAAAAGCAAATATATAGAAAATCATATTTTTCATCCGCAGCATTGAAAGTACAATCCATCAGATGAAGATATTTCGAGGTCCGAAGAGAGGAATTTACCACTTTAAACGTAAGTAAACCGACCATCTCGCAGTGAAAGCTTTAATTTTGACTTAGTATACGCCGTGTTAAAGACATTTTATCTCACGATATATAATTTTATGTCACCTTTCCGAATAAAAATTCGAATAGTCTTTTCTATTTTTTATAGCAAAAGTTTTGCATTTGTTGTTTTTGCTACGTTGTACTCAATGTTCGTACAAGAAAAGATTTTTACCAGCATTAGGCTACTTGTTCACAGATAAAAAATTTATATCCATTCAATTATTTTGAATATATCAGTCAACCATACAATGCAACCAGTTGTCACAGCTTAAAGAACTTTCGTGATGTCTCGCGACTCCTGCTACTCAAATTAAAGTATTATTACATTTAATTTTCGAACCGGTTATTATCTCATTCATCCATTGTGTTCATGAATAAAAGTTTGATTAATCGATTGGTTGTTTTGAAAATATATGTTAATATGAGCAAATTGCTTCAATTATTGTGCTTGGATCCTGTAGAGTTATTGCATGTGGACGACTTCAGATTTTCTTAATGCATTTATTCTAACACAAAAGTTAAAATGTTTCCTTATATTTTGCAGAGAATGACATAGTCGAAGGTTTTAATAGTTTTGTAGGTTCTGAGAAAAAGCAAAGCACGATTCGCCAAGGTTTGCGTACTCTTTATATCCCTGTATTTGTTTTCAACGATGTATTGGCTTTTTGATTCGGGTAGCATGATTAGATAAAGTGCCACATTCAGCATGGAAAATGATGACACCCAAATAAAATTATAGCAAAGCTTATAGATACCCCGAATCCCTTCACTAATGCAGATGGAGTTTCAATCATGTAAGAGTTATCTATAGGAACAATTTAAATTTATGGTCGGTCTTCATTGCTAACTTGACATTATTTGTTTATATTCAGAATCCGAAGATATATCTCTAGATGATACTTTTTTTATAACCGACTATGATAATTTCTTCATCCTGATATTGAAATCCCACGCAGGTAAATAGCTACTTGTCTTATTTCCTTTATAACATAACTGCTCTTCTTGCACCAATCACTCCTTCATCTCGAAAGCACTGCCGCTGTTTATTTGATTGCTTTATACTTTCTTTTGAACAAACGGTTTCTCACCTATTGAGGAGTATTTCTAGGCTCGATGTTTGTTTCAGTCTCGTAATAGTAAATTTTAATATTGATTTGAATATTGTGCAGGTTGGACTGGTTATGTAAAAGCAAGAACTCCTCAGATCACTTCTGATCAACTTCAATTAATCTCAGATGTTTTGTATGACAACGGAATTGAATCTCCAGTAATGACCTTGAAAAATGTATGCCTTGGTATGGATAATGATGAAAATGATCCTGCAGCCGTTGTTCTCGTTTAAATTTGAAACTCCTAGATTGAACCAAAAAATCTGTCAATTTAAATCACTTAAATATATTTACACCGAAAATACTATATAGAAATTAAATACTTAACTCCGTCATTGTAACCCACCATTTCGCCATGTGGTCTAACTAAATTGTGTATTTTATTTTTTTTTGGTTATCACAATATGTGGAAGCCGCACATTATCGTTTTTGACCAATATAACCTTGTGCATGCATCCGTTAACATCATATATCTTATCTTACTTGGGCGAATAAACATATATACTGATCTTAGGCCAAAATGTATTTTACAACGGGTGAACCAGTGAGGAAGGGACGCGGATCATTCGTTCTCGGGTCTCAAAGTGACCTGTCGTGTCCAAGTTACTGAAAACTCCACCACAACAATTACAATCGGAAGCAGCTTCCAAATGGTATTCGATTTTCCTCTCAGGACTATGGTGCGAACCAGCGCTGAGCTTTCTCAAAAGTCTGCAATGTCTCTGAAAAAAACGAGTAATAATCTTGCTCAGTCTATGTATAGAGGTAAAAATTACTAATCGAGTACGCCGTGAACAATCAAATGGAGATAAACAAGAGAGTTATGTTCAAATTATGGGTACATAGCGCAACATACGGCAAAATTGTGATGACGTCATATCACACATATCATGTTCACTAACGTGTCCAATAATGCAGATTGCAGCCAGCCTTGCACATTGGATACGACGGCAAAATAAATGACATGAAAAAGTAAACACCTAAAAGTTCTATATCGAGCCCTAGCGGTCTAGATTCAGGTTGGATGGATCGATTACAACATAACGATTTGTATATTTGAAGATTGAAAATGTAGTTATGATAAGTCTCCGCGGTCATTTTCTCACGGTGTTTCGTATTTTCCCTTTGAACGAGGCTTTACGGTAACTGTATCTCTTACGTAAAAAACTGGAACTTGCGGCTTTGGTAGAAATATACTGCTAGACCAAGCAAATTTCGAACCTAAAATACTTAATCCACAACAGCCGTGTATAGAGGCAGGATGTGTGGTAACTACATATGCGTGTTATTTTGCTTTTTAAAAAACTTCGAAGTCTTCTCAATATCCACTGCATATTTTAATCTGTCTCCTGTTCATTTTAGTCGGTTCATATATCACTCGATTCCTCACTTTTACGCTTTAAATTGAGAAAATTGACATTCGAGATGTTTATCTTTATTATATGTACTTTTTTACAACGGATAAAATTACTTATCTAGAATTGAAAAAAGTCGGTGATTGGACAACCATCTTGATTTACAAGTTTACGGCAGACAATACTTTCCACTATAGTTACACTTTAATTACTCATTGTCCTTGAGATGTGTTTAACAACTGATTCATTTCAACACATTTTTCTTAAATGTGTGATAAATATTATAAAAATACATTCGGTTATTATCGATTGTTTGAGCAAAAATTCATTTCATTTTAAAAGTATTCTAAGATATTAGGAGGAAGTAAAAATCTACCACGAAGGGTTAATTCATACTTTAGAAAGGATACATAAGTCCATAATATGCACAATTTTTTACGGTGGTGAACGAGATCCGTCAAAGATTTAGGCTAGAGCGAAATGTTAACAGAAAAACATGTTTCTGCCTGGGCACAAACCACTTTTCGGGGACCGTTTGCAAACGCGATGACCACTACACTATGAAAAGACATCAGGGTCGGTTTTAAGCCGATTCGACGACAAACCCCGGGTACATGCGTTTCCCTATGTAGAAGTCGGCACGTTCGCCTAACACGCGAACAATTATTGTTAAGTCTCTCAAGAGTATTGTTCATTAAAATATGACCCACCGGCGTATACGTTTCTGCAGTGTAGTGGTCATCACGTTCGCTTTACACGCGAACGGTACGTATCGTTTTCAAAGTTAGTATTTATCTAGTTAGTGTTAGAAAGGATTTGAAAATTGGAATTTCTAGCGCAATCTTCTTTTTTAATATTGAGTGGTAGCGAGGGTGATTATTTTTTTCCCTAAGATCCGAAACTTTGAAAACGAACGATTTCAAGGCATTTGAAGTAGGACACAAAGTGGTAAGGACGTCTTTTTCAACACTATTTTGCTATATCCTAAATCTATTCACTGATAATTAGCTGTTTTGAGGCTTACTATCAATTCATCCTCCAAATTAATCATCCGATTTGGCAAAAATTAGCAATTGTATAGCCTGAAGAACTCCGCGGTGAAGTAAGTCTATAAAAGAGATTTCAACGTAACGTAAAATATCAGTGGCTGCTTATATCTTGCCTTGTTTGTAGCAAAATTGGGCAAATAAGCATCCGTAATACGTCATATAAAAAAAATTGGGTTGCCAAATTTTGTGCTGGCTACGCTCTTACCGACGTAAATAAAGAAGTCGATTATTACCGAAAACATCAATTCTTATCGATACGTGGAAGTATGAGGTTGGGATTTCAAATTTTCACACATTCATTTCTTGTAGAAACTAAGCATAAAGAACAGACAGGCTATGAATGGGATGTTTTGTACAAAGCTTCCACCAACGCTAAAAATGAAAAAAAGAATTTAAGCATTCAGTTATAAATGCATATTGCTCCGAACATTACAATTGTAATTTCTTCCAAACCAACTGGATAATTATAAGTTTTTGATTTGAAACATGTCAGGATTGTTTCTATCAAATCTTACATTTTGTGTATTAGTGGCGGAGGCTTTGTACAAAAGATTCAATTAGAGTTCCCATAAGATTTGAAAGCAGGATCATGAGTATTTTGCTAGCTTCGTAAAGTGAGATATCTTTCGAACCACGTTGGTAGAAAAATATATCATATAAATGCGAAATATATATTGTATTCCAGGCGGAGAAATTGTTTGCAATCCAATCGATGAAGAATTAATTAATCTGACGGGCACAACCAGTCTTCCTTTCATTTCACTTATTATTATACTCTGGTGCTGACTCTCTGTCTGGTTTTTGCCACTGACCCCAAGTGCGGTAATAATTACCTCGTATCTGAGTATCTTCATGTGTGTTGCCGGCGGTCTGATTTGTGCCACTGACCCGGTCCCACCAAGATTAAATGGCTTCTTGACTTCCTTATTGTATTTTTGGCTACTCTGCTTTCTGCCGCTGACCCGGTCCTTCCCACACTGCCTAGTTCACAACTAACTTCCTTCCCGTGTCATGGCCACTCTGTCCTTCCCACTCACTGTACCTTGTTTCTGCCTACATGACTGTTGCTTTGGCCACTATGTCTGCTTTCTGCAACTTACCCTGACCTGCTCCACATTGTTTACAACTTCTTTCGTGTGTTTCAGCCACTATCTCTGCGTTCTGCCACTGACCCTAACCTAACCACACTACCTGGATTCTAACTTCCTTCCTGTGTCATGGCCATTCTGTCTGTTTCCGCCACTAACCCTATCCTTTTCACGCTAACACCTATTTGAATACCACGCCCTCTTGCCAGGTACCCAGTCCGTGTGGGTTATGAGATTAGTAAATCGATTTTGCTGTCCAGTTAGTCTAGTTATCAAACATGAAATCATTCATTGATGCAACCCAGCGGTTTTGAATTTTTTTTTGTGAGGCATAACCCCAGTGGAACATTTAAGAAGCTTGAGGAATTCAATAGTGTGATAGTTTAGAATCTAAACTTTAGATCCTCTTGTGTTCTTTCTCAGCTTGGAAAGTTTGGAGAGAGTCCTCAAATGATCAATGAAATTGTGCATGAATTAACAAAATCCGACAGTCAATGTTATGGTTGACACGAACCATCCAACTGAGCCAAGTCGGGCCAATTTTTCCAGCCAGTAAAATCTAGGCTAGCCCTACCCGCGTCCAAAGTTATGAAGTTGAGACGTGGAGCCCTAGTTTTGTGAAGAAATGTTTGATCCATGGCTGCAAAAATTATATACCATGAGATTTTTTCCGCCGGCAGTGGGAAAACCTACAAGAAAGACATCTTTTTCATACAGCGTTTGCTTAGGGCTAAATTGGTCGCCATGTCAATCACGCCATTGTAAAGTCGTCGCCCAACTAACGAACGTTGAATATCGAACCACCGTCGGCCTAAAGCTGACTAACTTTTTGCGGGTGGTGGCATTTTCGTTAACCGTCGGCATAGCTTTTTGATTGTCAGGTTCAAGTCAATATCAAGTTCACAGCTTTAGGATTTGCTGTAGGTGTAGGTAAACATCTAGGCCTGAAGGATAATGGCAAAAGATCAACTTTTTTCCTCCAACCCTGCCTGGTTTTACTTTAAAATGCGGAAAAAATTACTCATGTTTGCTAAACTTGATTCTGCGGATAAAAAATAATAGGTGGAGCAGATAAATTAAATTAGGTACTTCATTAATACGTAACATTAAAGGCAAACACTACGTAATGAAAAGTAATCGACATGGAAATGTAAAATGAACTTATTGATTTATATACCCAGCATTTAAATTAAAAAAACGAAAAAAAATATTCAATCATATTTTAGGTATGTTTAACACAATTCTGGTAGTTTTAGCGGCGCATTTTTGGTGAGCCGACATAAAAATTGCAAGTGTTGAGTGGCAAAAAAGTTTGGGAAATGCTGGCTTGGGGTATGGGTGGCGGGAGGAAGCCGCCAGCATTCCTGTGGTACTAAATTATCCCCTACGGGATTTGAACCTGCAAATCCAAGCGGGGTAATCTTAGGATAGAAATCAAGCGTATTCCTAAGGCTTGGCACGATGCGCCACTCGACGCGAACGTAATCAGCTGCAGTGCACTGGCTGACATAGATACTAAATACATTAAAATACGTGTATAACCTTACACTGAGTGATGAAATCTCAGGATTGTTCTTTTACGGGCATACATTACCTGTATCATGATCGTTCTTTACCAAGAGGTCTAATCTAGAGACAGACTCAAAGTGCTTCAACGGACCTAAGGTCTCCGCGATCTATTCGTCTACTCAAAATGGCATTAATAAAATTTAAGCAGCAGCAAATACATCTGAGGTATTAAATAGAGTAATTTCAATTCACCCATCAATATTGATCGCTAAGTAACAATTTGTTTTTGTTACGTTCTTATTGTGGGGCTACGTCAATCCACCTCTTCACGAGCTCCATAACACCAAATATTTGAATGGTCTCGAATAGTTGATCTATATATCATCAGTTGTTGTCGTCGGTATGCTCTTGTCTTGAGCAGTCAATTATTACTTCACATAGAACCGTGATTAATGCTGTTGCTGATGTTATGTCTCTGCCGTTTGGTTTGGGCGAAGAAATTACTTTCAGTAGGCATCGAAACAACGAACACGTTATGACCTCCCTTTTAATGACATCGTGGCACGTTATTGTATGAAACTTGAAATTATTTTGGCTGCGCAAAGTCAATGAGCTAAGATTTGTACGCCAATGCAGAGAATGCATTGATTTAACGCTAAACTTGTACACGCCGGTATTCTTTCATTGAGTTGTAGGAAGGTTAAATTTTTGATGGTATTCACGTGCGCGTTTACTCGGCAAATATAAACAAACAGATATAATGGAATTGCTGGATTCTTCGTACTAAGCTTCCGTCACTGATGCAAAAATGTGTGATCTGAGATAAACACCCCTGTCACGTTTTAAAACGTAATGAGTAATTAAATTAATCAGTTAGAACATTTGATTGCCAACAATCAGTTAGCTTTTTTCGTCAAATATTTTTGCGCGGGAAGCCACAAGCAACATCGCTTTTGGTCAGTCACAAATGTTCGTAGTAGGATGAGGTTTGATGTTCTGTAGGATGTATGGATAGGCTGACTATTGGGTTATGACAGTGAGTTCGAAACAATATTCAGGTGAGCTAAATGTTCTTTATACCTATTACTTTCATTGCTATTATATTGCTTTCATTTTACTATTGTATAAGTGGTAAATTAGAGGTTTTCGGGCCTATACGAATCGGAATTATTAACCTAATACAGAAGTACAGATTGATGGATAATTCTCTTTTGTATCGAACTCACTAACAGCGGGTTCATCGTTTCGTCACAAATAGGCCAAAATTTAAAGCTATATGGCAATACATAAACTTATCATAATAAGAAACTTAAACGTAATACACTGATCTACATAACCTGCATTCAACATTGGTACGCTTTACATGAATGTAATGCATAACTTTTAAAACTTTCGCAAATGTAGCGCAAAATCCATGGTTCAATAGAGATTTGCTGTAGGCCTTTTTTTACTTTTATATATTATTGTGTATAGATTGGATCTTTGTACAAAGGACCCTACCAACGTTCAAAATAAGAAGAATGGATAGTAAATTATCCAGTTTAAGTTAGGAATGCAGATTGCGCTGGAAATTCAAATTTTTAATCATTTCTAACCCCAAATGGATAATTACTAATATGTCATTTTAAACGTGGCTTTGTGCAAAAGATCCGATAAGATTCAGTCCCACTGTCCATTAAAATATACTAGCTACAGTTCTGCGACAGTTTATTTATCAATATTTTAAACTTTTTTTCAGATTCAGAAATATTAAAAGTTAAAGATTCAAAGACACAAAGTAACGAACGAGGAATATTACAAGTAAAATATTATTTGAACAATTTATCGACTCTCGACGCCTATTGATATCCTGTATACCACTGTTTTCGTTTAAATAGGTAAATAATTCGATGCGAGCGGCACTACGTTTCAGTTCTTGCAATCAGAGTCAGCATTGTTATGCCCACTTATTTGATCGTGTGTTTTTCTTTCGAAATTGTAAGGTTTAAAATTTTCACAAGTTTTAATAATTGTCTTTTGATTCAAAAGTCCAAAAACGTAAGACCCACGTTCTATAAATATAGTACCTTGTATCAAATTGGTGTACTCTTTGCGACCCCTCAAATTTGTTGCACGCTTCCCTGCTGGAAAGCGATCCCCAGTTTGCGATCCCTACCGTGAACAATGTGGTATTGCTACAAGTTACTTGTCAGAGATAATTAGTCATACATGAAACAGGTATAAAACTTTATTGGGTATTTTATTGTTATTGTAATAATGCCATTTGTGCAGTTTGAAAACTACACCTGATATGTATATATAAAGTATATATTTGAAATTTAATGGCAATCGCTGAATAAATTTTATTCGACTAAAGTTTTGGATTTTATGAAATTAAATGTCGAAATTTACCCGTTACGTATTTTATTAAAACTAACGTATAATTTTGGAAAAAAATATTCAAAAAAGAGTCTTACTTAAACTAACATATCATTTTAACTAAAGGATGTAATTTCGGTGAAATCAGCGACATAATTGAAAAATGACCAAAAATGAACTACAGTGCTGGTTTTTTGTATCTTTAGCATATTCATAGCTTTGCAGTGTTCTTGTGTCAAATAACATTTGAGTGAATTAACTATACCTGAGAATGCATAGTTGGCTCAACGGAAATTTAGTTCAATTCAAATTTTGAAATTGGCTTACACAAAATCACGACCTATATATTGATTTTCAGCGTTTTGAAACACTGCTTGAAAGGTGGCAGGACAATTTATAATTGCACCGAAGAAATCGTCGAGATCCAGGTTTTCATCAATGAGCGAGATGGAGGCCTATTATGTCTTAAGAGCCAAGTATGTAACCAAATCATTTGAAATCTTCCCAATTACATGTCTTATAAATAAATGATATATTGTATTTTTTTTTTCGGGAAATCTAACAGACAAATTATTACCTTTAATATATTGGAGTATAAGCTTAGTTTTGTTTTGTCTGTTTCAAATAAAGTTTTTCTTAAAATTACAACCTCAAAATTCATAATAACATGATTTTTTTAATAACACAACTACCGTTTTATTCTGGCTATTGAGTCGGCCCAGTGAATAAAGGCGGGGGTCATATTTTAGAAATTAAAAATGAGCATTTTTTCGTTCCCGCCCAATAGTCGAGACACAAGAATGCATTACATTGATTCTTTTTGTCAGTTTAGGCACCAATGCGCGCTCATAATTGTTTATGGCAAAATCTGTTCAAACCATTCCATGTTCATTTCGTATAATCGCGGAATTAACTGTTGTGTACTACAAATTAACTGTGGCAATATCCGGTGAATAATGGCGTAGTCAGTACAGCGCTGCACGTTCAGTGGGCTAGTTGCTGTGTTGTCCCATCTGCTGTCGTACCGTTTAATCGGCCAAACCGAAAGGCCAATTACTATCTTGCAATGTCAGTTTATTACTTATCGATTTTAATCGGTAAGTATGTTGATAGGTATTTGTCTGTCTGTTTGTCTGTCTGTTTGTCTGTTAGATGCACGCGATATCTCACGAAAGCGAGATTGAATCTGCTCCAGATTTTGCATGTACATTCATCATATCTCGGACCAGAAGCGTATAATTAGCGAGTTATTAAGTTTTTAGTGATGGGACACAGGGTGTCACTATGGAGTAAGAGCGCTGTTTTGGGGATCCCCTAACTTTCGATCGATAAGTCTTCGGTCTCTGACCGATATTCTCGTTTAAAGGTCATTAGGCCAGTATAAATAAAAGGCGTTTTATCGCAATAGGGCGTCACGTTGTGATTACGACAAACAGTGAAAGTTAATCCAGCAGTGTATATCTGCAGATATACTGAAAGGATTCGAAGTATGCCTCATTAAGTGCAATTCAGGTAAAACACAACCCCAACTTAATAACCATGCGAATATTAAAACTTATTGTTCAACTTGTTGTTTATCATAGGATGCCTATATATACACTAATATGCCTAATTTGTTGAAATCGTAGTCCTGGCCTTTTTTATTAATCTGATGAACGTTTTTTGCCACAAATGGTAGTCTACACTAACTACCATATTATATAAAGTAATCAGGCTAATTTCCTAAATGTGACTGTGGCTCATCGTGAATTGCACGCACTGGTAGTAACAGTTGATAACCATGTCATTGATGTTCCTAACCTAGTTCAAAACTGGAATTTCCAATAATGATATTATCAGAGTGCGTAATACTAACTGTATCAAGATAGCCGTTAATCTTACATTCTTAATAGAACTCGCGTCCCAACTAAAATTTCCAAAAGCGATACTCTATAAATTAGAGACTGAATTTAGATTGAGAGACATGGTGTCATTTTTTTCCCTATTGTTAGTGCGGGTCACGTTATGTCATGGCTAATCATGTGTATTGAGAAGAACTTAATTAATATAAACTGTCCTATATTATCTCTACTGAATGGTGTTAGTTAAATTTTTTGGATCAACTGAAGAAACTGAAAACTCTAGAATTCTTACTTTTATAATCAGATATTAGAAACTTGGGTGTCGCTGCTCGATAACCAGTTTGATTCCAAAAATGTTACTATATATTTACATGATATCCCACCAAATTGTAAATCAAACTATAGTCAGCATATATTCTCGTTGCTAGTAGTTTGTTTGGGGGGAAATCTGTGAATAATTTATCAATAAACTGAAAATTAATATTTTCATTTTTATGTATTTAACTAAAGTATAAGCATAGCTTATCTGTGCTCCTGCCAAATTACATTTTCTGTAACTTATAATCCTAAAACCTAATCATGACATAGTTCGAACAACTATATATAATTCAAATCAATACTATACAAAATTTACCTACATTTTCATCACTTCATATAAATTTCAGCTTTTTTGAAACACTTCTTGGAAGCGGGAAAGACAAGTTATCATTATATCTCAAGACATGCGGAGTTATTTGTCCGATTATGCATCACTGAGAGCGGTGGCTGCCTCGAGTCTAAAGAGCAAGTATGTTATTAAAATCTTTTGAATCTTCCTACCTTCATCACCATTATTCACGGATCGCCACAAGAAATTTTAAAATTGTCATCTACTTCTATTGTTAAAATTATAACATATAAGTATAAGTTAAAATTACTTTACTTAATTTAAATGCTAAACATTTTAATAGGCTCAATACCAGACATAAATAAATCTAAATTCCACAGATAAATTAAATATATTAAGGCTGTAAACTCAACAAACATATTATCAACTTTGGGGTCGAACACCCTTTTGGTGTTTTTGGGAATACTGAAAAAGTCCTAATAACGTACGCGATGGCATTTTGGTAGAATAGCCGATAGTTTTTGTCAGCGCGACGTTTTTTTAAACAACATATGTGCTTATTCTCCCTGAATCACAAATTTTCTTGGCATATGAATGTATTGTTCCGCGAGGCCGACAATAACTTTTTTGTTCTTGTGCGGAATTATGAGTTGCGAAACAAGTTAGAATGCTATAAAATAAAAATGCTAAAAATAAATGATAAAGAGGTGAATCCGCAACCCAATTTCTTGATTGAATACCGGCATTATAAAATAATAAAACTAAAATCCAAAACGGAAGATATCACCATAAGTTTTGTTCTAGCAGTCTTGCAGCAAATTGAAAACGCTTTTTAGACAATGTAAATTTGTGTTATGTTAGGATTTCTTTAAAATGTATACCATATAGTAACTGAAATCGAAACACAGTAAATTGTTCGCGCGATGTACCTTTTGTCTATTTTGAAACTACCGATGAAGACCAATACGACTTTTTCTCGGTATGTGACGATATATATATAAGATAATTATTGCAAAATATATCGAACAATTTTTTTTTGCAATATTTTAAATTACAATCGTTCGTATTTTGTCCATATCTTTAAAATAATTCTGAGTGCCGAAAAAACAAATCAAATTTAACTAACCTCAAAATACGATTTCGGTCTACTTATAAGTGGCATTTTGAGACGTATTTTATTCAGTTTTTAAATAGTAATTTTTCATTTTAATATTCGTAAAAGTTTTCTCGACTAAAATTCGAGAACGCAGAACACAAATGAATTACTATGAAATTACTATGACAAGATATTTTAATTGCTCGCACCGGCTATGAATTGAATATTTTACTCGAGAGACAACTTTTTATCCACTGCGATCCTACTTATAGATAATGTCACATTTGAATTTACGCTCGTTGTCATATTTCGACGCTACTGATGTCAAATTTTATTAAGGATGTTATTACTTCTTTGGACAGTCACAAAATTAGCCAAGTCAGTATTTTAATAAGTAATCGAATGGCTCGCGGAGCGCCTAAGTTTCTCTCACAGAGCTCTTTGTGAACCTATGCACTAATAGACCAAGAAAGAAATTTTCGTAAGAGTGTTTGAAGTGTCGTTATATCGTTGTATAATAGCTGAGTTTTAGACAGAATATTGTACAATTTCAGCATCTCTTCAAAAATTAGCTGTTTGCATCTAATAATTAAATATTCTCTTCAGCTTACCATCTCAAGATTTTGTGGTAACGCTTCCAAATGACCAAAAACCTAATATGAATACGCATTATCGCGATAGTTACCTTATGTCCAAGTATGCCTCATTAAGTGCAATTCGGGTAAAACACAACCCCAACTTAATAACCATGCGAATATTAAAACTTATTGTTCAACTTGTTGTTTATCATAGGATGCCTATATATACACTAATATGCCTAATTTGTTGAAATCGTAGTCCTGGCCTTTTTTATTAATCTGATGAGCGTTTTTTGCCACAAATGGTAGTTTAAACTAACTATCATATTATATAAAGTAATCAGGCTAATTTCCTAAATGTGACTGTGGCTCATCGTGACTTGCACGCACTGGTAGTAAACAGTTGATAACCATGTCATTGATGTTCCTAACTAGTTCAAACTGGAATTTCCAATAATGATATTATCAGAGTGCGTAATACTAACTGTATCAAGATAGCCGTTAATCTTACATCTTAATAGAACTCGCGTCCCAACTAAAATTTCCAAAAGCGATACTGTATAAATTAGAGACATGATTTAGATTGAGAGACATGGTGTCATTTTTTCCCTATTGTTAGTGCGGGTCACGTTATGTCATGGCTAATCATGTGTATTGAGAAGAACTTAATTAATATAAACTGTCCTATATTATCTCTACTGAATGGTGTTAGTTAAATCTTTTGGATCAACTGAAGAAACTGAAAACTCTAGAATTCTTACTTTTATAATCAGATATTAGAAACTTGGGTGTCGCTGCTCGATAACCAGTTTGATTCCAAAAATGTTACTATATATATACATGATATCCCACCAAATTGTAAATCAAACTATAGTCAGCATATATTCTCGTTGCTAGTAGTTTTTTTGGGGGGAAATCTGTGAATAATTTATCAATAAACTGAAAATTAATATTTTCATTTTTATGTATTTAACTAAAGTATAAGCATAGCTTATCTGTGCTCCTGCCAAATTACATTTTCTGTAACTTATAAACCTAAAACCTAATCATGACATAGTTCGAACAACTATATATAATTCAAATCAATACTATACAAAATTTACCTACATTTTCATCACTTCATATAAATTTCAGCTTTCTGAACACTTCTTGGAAGCGGGAAAGACAAGTTATCATTATATCTCAAGACATGCGGAGTTATTTGTCCGATTATGCATCACTGAGAGCGGTGGCTGCCTCGAGTCTAAAGAGCAAGTATGTTATTAAAATCTTTTGAATCTTCCTACATTCATCACCATTATTCACGGATCGCCACAAGAAATTTTAAAATTGTTATCTACTTCTATTGTTAAGTATAAGTTAAAATTACTTTACTTAATTTAAATGCTAAACATTTTAATAGGCTCAATACCAGACATAAATAAATCTAAATTTCACAGATAAATTAAATATATTAAGGCTGTAAACTCAACAAACATATTATCAACTTTGGGGTCGAACACCCTTTTGGTGTTTTTGGGAATACTGAAAAAGTCCTAATAACGTACGCGATGGCATTTTGGTAGAATAGCCGATAGTTTTTGTCAGCGCGACGTGTTTTTAAACAACTTATGTGCTTATTCTCCCTGAATCACAAATTTTCTTGACATATGAATGTATTGTTCCGCGAGGCCGACAATAACTTTTTTTGTTCTTGTGCGGAATTATGAGTTGCGAAACAAGTTAGAATGCTATAAAATAAAAATGCTAAAAATAAATGATAAAGAGGTGAATCCGCAACCCAATTTCTTGATTGAATACCGGCATTATAAAATAATAAAACTAAAATCCAAAACGGAAGATATCACCATAAGTTTTGTTCTAGCAGTCTTGCAGCAAATTGAAAACGCTTTTTAGACAATGTAAATTTGTGTTATGTTAGGATTTCTTTAAAATGTATACCATATAGTAACTGAAATCGAAACACAGTAAATTGTTCGCGCGATGTACCTTTTGTCTATTTTGAAACTACCGATGAAGACCAATACGACTTTTTCTCGGTATGTGACGATATATATATAAGATAATTAATGCAAAATATATCGAACAATTTTTTTTTGCAATATTTTAAATTACAATCGTTCGTATTTTGTCCATATCTTTAAAATAATTTTGAGTGCCGAAAAAACAAATCAAATTTAACTAACCTCAAAATACGATTCCGGTCTACTTATAAGTGGCATTTTGGGACGTATTTTATTCAGTTTTTAAATAGTAATTTTTCATTTTAATATTCGTAAAAGTTTTCTCGACTAAAATTCGAGAACGCAGAACACAAATGAATTACTATGAAATTACTATGACAAGATATTTTAATTGCTCGCACCGGCTATGAATTGAATATTTTACTCGAGAGACAACTTTTTATCCACTGCGATCCTACTTATAGATAATGTCACATTTGAATTTACGCTCGTTGTCATATTTCGACGCTACTGATGTCAAATTTTATTAAGGATGTTATTACTTCTTTGGACAGTCACAAAATTAGCCAAGTCAGTATTTTAATAAGTAATCGAATGGCTCGCGGAGCGCCTAAGTTTCTCTCACAGAGCTCTATGCACTAATAGACCAAGAAAGAAATTTTCGTAAGAGTGTTTGAAGTGTCGTTGTATCGTTGTATAATAGCTGAGTTTTAGGCAGAATATTGTACAATTTCAGCATCTCTTCAAAAATTAGCTGTTTGCATCTAATAATTAAATATTCTCTTCAGCTTACCATCTCAAGATTTTGTGGTAACGCTTCCAAATGACCAAAAACTTAATATGAATACGCATTATCGCGATAGTTACCTTATGTCCAAGTATGCCTCATTAAGTGCAATTCGGGTAAAACACAACCCCAACTTAATAACCATGCGAATATTAAAACTTATTGTTCAACTTGTTGTTTATCATAGGATGCCTATATATACACTAATATGCCTAATTTGTTGAAATCGTAGTCCTGGCCTTTTTTATTAATCTGATGAGCGTTTTTTGCCACAAATGGTAGTCTACACTAACTACCATATTATATAAAGTAATCAGGCTAATTTCCTAAATGTGACTGTGGCTCATCGTGACTTGCACGCACTGGTAGTAAACAGTTGATAACCATGTCATTGATGTTCCTAACTAGTTCAAACTGGAATTTCCAATAATGATATTATCAGAGTGCGTAATACTAACTGTATCAAGATAGCCGTTAATCTTACATCTTAATAGAACTCGCGTCCCAACTAAAATTTCCAAAAGCGATACTGTATAAATTAGAGACATGACTTAGATTGAGAGACATGGTGTCATTTTTTCCCTATTGTTAGTGCGGGTCACGTCATGTCATGGCTAATCATGTGTATTGAGAAGAACTTAATTAATATAAACTGTCCTATATTATCTCTACTGAATGGTGTTAGTTAAATCTTTTGGATCAACTGAAGAAACTGAAAACTCTAGAATTCTTACTGTTATAATCAGATATTAGAAACTTGGGTGTCGCTGCTCGATAACCAGTTTGATTCCAAAAATGTTACTATATATTTACATGATATCCCACCAAATTGTAAATCAATCTATAGTCGGCATATATTCCCGTTGCTAGTAGTTTTTTGGGGGGAAATCTGTGAATAATTTATCAATGAACTGAAAATTAATATTTTCATTTTTATGTATTTAACTAAAGTATAAGCATAGCTTATCTGTGCTCCTGCCAAATTACATTTTCTGTAACTTATAAACCTAAAACCTAATCATGACATAGTTCGAACAACTATATATAATTCAAATCAATACTATACAAAATTTACCTACATTTTCATCACTTCATATAAATTTCAGCTTTCTGAAGCACTTCTTGGAAGCGGGAAAGACAAGTTATCATTATATCTCAAGACATGCGGAGTTATTTGTCCGATTATGCATCACTGAGAGCGGTGGCTGCCTCGAGTCTAAAGAGCAAGTATGTTATTAAAATCTTTTGAATCTTCCTACATTCATCACCATTATTCACGGATCGCCACAAGAAATTTTAAAATTGTTATCTATTTCTATTCTTAAGTATAAATTAAAATTACTTTACTTAATTTAAATGCTAAACATTTTAATAGGCTCAATACCAGACATAAATAAATCTAAATTTCACAGATAAATTAAATATATTAAGGCTGTAAACTCAACAAACATATTATCAACTTTGGGGTCGAACACCCTTTTGGTGTTTTTGGAATACTGAAAAAGTCCTAATAACGTACGCGATGGCATTTTGGTAGAATCGCCGATAGTTTTTGTCAGCGCGACGTGTTTTTTTAAACAACTTATGTGCTTATTCTCCCTGAATCACAAATTTCCTTGACATATGAATGTATTGTTCCGCGAGGCCGACAATAACTTTTTTTGTTCTTGTGCGGAATTATGAGTTGCGAAACAAGTTAGAATGCTATAAAATAAAAATGCTAAAAATAAATGATAAAGAGGTGAATCCGCAACCCAATTTCTTGATTGAATACCGGCATTATAAAATAATAAAACTAAAATCTAAAACGGAAGATATCACCATAAGTTTTGTTCTAGCAGTCTCGCAGCAGATTGAAAACGCTATTTAGACAATGTAAATTTGTGTTATGTTAGGATTTCTTTAAAATGTATACCATATAGTAACTGAAATCGAAACACAGTAAATTGTTCGCGCGATGTACCTTTTGTCTATTTTGAAACTACCGATGAAGACCAATACGACTTTTTCTCGGTATGTGACGATATATATATAAGATAATTAATGCAAAATATATCGAACAATTTTTTTTTTGCAATATTTTAAATTACAATCGTTCGTATTTTGTCCATATCTTTAAAATAATTTTGAGTGCCGAAAAAACAAATCAAATTTAACCCAAAAACAGATTCCGGTCTACTTATAAGTGGCATTTTGGGACGTATTTTATTCAGTTTTTAAATAGTAATTTTTCATTTTAATATTCGTAATAAAAGTTTTCTCGACTAAAATTCGAGAACGCAGAACACAAATGAATTACTATGAAATTACTATGACAAGATATTTTAATTGCTCGCACCGGCTATGAATTGAATATTTTACTCGAGAGACAACTTTTTATCCACTGCGATCCTACTTATATATAATGTCACATTTGAATTTACGCTCGTTGTCATATTCCGACGCTACTGATGTCAAATTTTATTAAGGATGTTATTACTTCTTTGGACAGTCACAAAATTAGCCTAGCCAAGTCAGTATTTTAATAAGTAATCGAATGGCTCGCGGAGCGCCTAAGTTTCTCTCACAGAGCTCTTTGTGAACCTATGCACTAATAGACCAAGAAAGAAATTTTCGTAAGAGTGTTTGAAGTGTCGTTGTATCGTTGTATAATAGCTGAGTTTTAGGCAGAATATTGTACAATTTCAGCATCTCTTCAAGGGGATTAGCTGTTTGCATCTAATAAATAAATATTCTCTTCAGCTTACCATCTCAAGATTTTGTGGTAATGCTTCCAAATGACCAAAAACTTAATATGAATACGCATTATCGCGATAGTTACCTTATGTCCAAGCCTGTCTATGGGACACGTCCCGTGAGATGGAATTGGACAACCCAATCAGTATTTCCCAGGGAACACGTGGGACACAAAAACCGTATGGTTTCCGGGGAAATGATGGTAAAAAATATCGTTATGGATTTCGTGTCGATATATTTGACCATGTCTATATTTTTTATGTTTTTTATTTATACGGGTATTACGTTATTGATAACATTGTCCTTATTATTCTGTGTTGAATTTACTGTTTAATCTTATGAGCCAAACTCGTTTTGCCACAAAATAGTTTCATACTAAAATAAAGAATCCGAATAAGCTCAGAAATGTAACTGTAAGTTATCATGGTCTATAGACCAGTGGTTCCCAAACTTTTTAGTCGCAGTAATATATACAGTAATACATACGCCCCCATTGGTAGCACTTGTTTCATTGTTACAAACCCCTCCTCCACCATATATGAGGTCGTAAATGAAAGAATCCAGGTTTCTGCCGTCTGCCTTTATTGCATGGTTTGTCAATTTATGAGAGATTTTCAATAAAAAGATACATCTTTATGGAAATCACGCATTGATGCATCTCTCGAATATAACAGGAATTTTATCTCTTCATTTTATTGCATTTCAAGGAGCTACCCTTGGTAGTCCTAGTAACCAATAACCAAACGTTTCATGTTGATATGTGTTCGAAGCTGGCAATCCTCGGTACTCCAAGTAACCATACAATTCCTGTTGATAAGTGTTCGAAGCTGGCAATACTTGGTAGTCCAAGTAACCATACGATTCATATTGATAAGTGTTCAAAGCTTGCAATCCTTGGTAGTCCTAGTGAACACGCGTTTCTTATTGATAAGTGTTCGAAGCTGACAATCCTTGGTAGTCCAAGTAACCATACGATGAATATTGATAAGTGTTCGAAGCTGGCAATCCTTGGTAGTCCAAATAACAATACCATTCATATTGATAAGTGTTCAAATCTGGTAATCATTAGTAGTCCAAGAAACCTTACAGTTCATATTGATAGGTGTTCGAAGTTGGCAATCCTTGATAGTCCAAGTAACCATACGTTTCATATTGATAAGTGTTTGAAGCTAGCAATTCTAGTTAGTCCAAGTAAACATACGATTCATATTGATAAGTGTTCGGAACAGGCAATCCTTGGTAGTCATTGTAATCATATGTTGCATGTTGATAAGTGTTCGAAGCTGGTAATATTCCTAATGCGCTGTTATTAAGTGCGAGTATTCATATATTCTATTCATGCGTGTATGTATCTATGTACTCGTATGACGCTGTATTAATGCGAATATTACGACCCTAAAATCGTTTTTTCATGAGGTACCTGAGCTAACATGTCTTACTACGTTAAAAGCATAGTCTTTATCATTCTATCATTTTACATGGCTTATACCATTTTTCATTAATTTTGAAACCCGTTTCATCACAAATGTTAGATCACGCAAAGTACCATAGTATGTAATGCAGTTGTTAAATATATATTCCCTATTTCTTCATAGTTTATTTCGAGTATTTATATGTTATGTTCTTATAATGAATGTAAAGTGTCTACAATCCCTGTGGCTATTGTAACTTATTGAAAATTATTCGATGAAATATATATTTTTAGTTGTTGGGGAGAAAAACAAGAAAGGACCTGAATATTAAAGTAAATATAACATGCAATGCCTGTGGTACACAAACATTTTGAGCTGCCCAAGCTTGGAATTTCTCAAGTCTCGCGCTCCACCTCAAAATATCTAGTTAACAATGTGCTACAAAAACACAGATAGTGGGGGCGTAAGTTTTATCAAGAGAAGCACGTCTGGGCAAATACGTGTATGGGGACGTTATATTATGATATAAATTAAGAAAATAAGACAGAGAAAATTTTACGCTATTTTTTAAGTTTCATCAATCAGCTTCACGTCCTCTTACAATGTTTACGCCCCCATGTGAGGCGCGCCCCGCCATTTGAAAACAACTGCACTGGAAAATAATTGACTAGTTGATATTTATATGATGAGATTGACAGATCATTGACAGATCATTCAAATTAAGTGAAAACTGTAATTATCGTGTAAATAAGCAAATAATTTTATATTAAACGAAAAATTAATATTTTCATTATTTTCAAACCTCTAGTATAAGCTTAGCTTCTCATGTCCCTGTTAATTTTAACTCCAAAGAAAAAAGAACAACAAAGTTCGAACAACTATATCTCTTCTCTGTATTCCTGTTAAATAACAATTTTGGTGATTAAAATAACTTGATAGTGTCTTAGGTCAACGAAATTTAGTTTCACCTAAAGATAGATAGACTCGGACACATGATCATGACATTGAACTGATTTTTTTTTTATGTATTTTCAATATAAGCTTACCCTTGCTTTACCTCTGTCAAAGCATTTTGTTTCTAATTTATAAATCCAAAACTTGATAATGAAATTATATATTTATTTTCAGTTTTCTAAAACACTGCTTGGAAGAGTCATGAATCAAACGGAATCCACATTGTTAATAGTCTGGTGCATCACGGAGTAAGATGGAAGGAAGCCTATATAGTCCAAAGAGTGAAGAGCAAGTATGTAATCTTATAAATCTTTCAATTCATATTTTGTCAGGTATAAACGGATATATCATGTTAAATCCCGCTAGTCTGGAAGATCTGTAAATATTTGAATTATCCTCACAAGATGTCCAAAATATGTTTCCCAATTTTATTTATATAATTTCGTGAAGTCATGTAATGCAATCGTTAGTTCACGGGCAGGTGTGCAGTTTTTAGCTGGTATGCAATAAATTTTGCTGCTTTATTATTTTCGTATACATAATTCCAGAAAAGACGCGGACTATATTCCTTTTTGGGCGTTCTCCCATCGTTTGAAAAGTATTGAAGTATGCGCCAGTCGCCAGCAATGGGATTATAATAGTGGCAATGGCGCATAGTTACAATTGGTCGGTCCTCATTTTATAGTATTTATTGTATTCGTACTTTATGGGTTTGTTTCGTTTCCATAGCGTTTTGTCAGTTTTTCAATAGTCTAGAACAGTAGTTTTTAACCATGGTTTAATCGAATTTTTTTTGGTTCATTGAAACTGTTAAAGGTTTTCGACTAGGGTCCTTTGAATTAAAACAGTTTTGTATTATATGACTTTTCTATCACATCGTCTACTAATTATGCAAATTTACCTACAGTTCATCTCGAATATTTAAACCCAACAACTAATAATAAAAAAGCGTTGCTTTTTGTATAGCGTTGCGCAGTTGTAAGTTTTAGTGAACCCGTCATCTCCACGGATGTCGCGCGTTTTGGTGTTTGGGCTTATATGATAGTGCCCTCAGATGCTTTCTGCTTATGACTTTGAAACATCTTGGATTGTTATGGCAAACCAAGGATTTTCAAGCTGAATCTCACTGCAATAGAGTATTTGTAAGTTTGTATTAAAGCACCAAAATAACACCTGAACACCGCCTCTGCCTCCGGGAGCAAAATATTTGAGTAAAGTAACATAATTATTATTAAACCGCTTCGAAAGTTTAACACTGAAACGTAAATCCCCTCAAAATTGATTGCTGATTCTATAACCCCGCACGAAATTAGGCTTCCCCTTTATAAAGTTAGGATTGGGCTCCCAATTTCAAATGTTCGGTACAATGAGGTTTGGCCAGAGCTTTCAGGATAGCGCAGGGGTTCGACAGGCTCGAAAAAGTTAAGGTTAACTAGGATTTGAAAAATCACACAGCGTTACGTAGTATTATTTTATTTGATGTTTCCATTTAAGAAAGAAATGAAATGGTCACTTCTACTTCTCTGATAAAGCGTAATAAATTGGTAGATTTGGAAGCACGCAACATCAAGACTTTTAATAAATTTTAAAATTTTTTAATTTTGTCGTAACGATGCTGACCAGTTTGTTCTTCGTTAAGGCTTGCGAGTGCTTTACAGAGCAATGCTGTATTTCATAATGGTATTTTGCAAAAATCTTAAGCTATGTGGTGAAGAGAAGGAACTGCAAAATTCGTGTTCCTAATAAAATGTTCTATTTATACAAGATTCCCCACACTATATCTCTGCCATGACAAAAAAGCTTGATCATGATCAGATGTTTGGAAGCGATGCACAACAACAGATTAATAAAAAAACGCAATATACTGGTGCAAATATTTGACTGAAAAATTTATTATTAATTGAAAGCGAAAGTTTTTCGGAATTTGTCTCCCTTAGTGTGAATTAATTAGAACCGTTAAGTTTCAATGTCAGACACGACATAGTTTTGGTGGTAAAAAATGTAAATCAAACAGGGGTGTACAACTTGTAATACAGGAGGACCAGGCACAAATAACTGGGTGAAAAGTAATTACTTATTATCTCACGGGCCAACATTGAGTTACTCGCGGAATTTTATCGTATTTTCAATCCTAAATATCAACTTTTTAACATGCTTGTAGGGAGTACAATGATATTTTCTGTTGTTTGCGGGCTAGTTCTGTTTTGAATAGCTGAACTGTTATTTATCCGACGTTGCCACTGGACATTCATAGTTTCTAATATGTGTATTGAAAAGGGATATTTTTGAACGCAAAGTTAACGGTTTTAAGCAAACTGACAAGCCAGACAAATCATAGTTACAGTGCGCGCATGCCAAGTCATATTTATTAATTCCTCGCCTAATCGTTTGTTTTTCTTTTTTAGCTGATTCTTTGCTAATAAGTGGTCATTTTGTACACGAAACTGGAAATAATAAAATACAATGATATACAGCAATAATCGCAAAAGTCGTTCAGGTTCATTCGCGGGCCGTTTTTCCGAAGTTCCTAACATTTCCTATTTTTCATTATGTCAATACTAGTTTTTTATTCCACAAATTGTTTTCTCTATGTGTAAAACATTTTATACAGTTTTTGATTGGTATCAAATTGTTGTGTTTGATTATTACTCTATCTGTTCATCCTCGTTTGTGCGCTTGATATTCCAACGGTTGATGTTCTGATTCCTTTTTAGAAGGTGCATGTAGTCCGTCTGTCGGGTATCCAATACAGCAAAGAAAAATGATTTCTTGTGATTGGTTGCTAAATCTGTTGTAGGTTGCACTGTTGTATATTTGACGCTTACACTGGATATTCATATTTTCGAGCGCATAGAAAACAGTTCCAAACATGCTGGCAAGCCAGAAAACATCCAATTTACACTGCACACATCCCGAGTCATATTAATTAAGTCCTCGTTTAATCGTTTGTTCGTTTATTTTAGCTGATCCTCTGCTGATAGGTGGACATTTATAAACTTGTTTTGGTATCCCAAGGGCATGACAATGTAATCTTGTTCTACCATACAGTTCGTCAAATAGCCGCGTTTTATTACTGTAACTTGTTTCTAATTTTAATGTTGGAGAGTGTTAGAATAATTTTAGGTTAAAACACGTCAACTAACTGTTAACCGAAAGCGCCTAAATTCACCCAATATGCTAGATAATGCCTCTGTACAAATGCGAAGCACTGGTCAAACTTGTGCCTGCACTGAAAAATATACACAAAAGGCAAACTAATTCATAACATAAAGCCGAGATAAAATAATGATTATGAAACAGAACGTGTTTGTGCGTTAAACTGTGTTTGGAACGACGAAAATTAAGTATGAGCAATGCAGTTCCCCAACCTCGCGAATAGAAACGAGAATAGGATTATAACTTGATTTTAGCCATTATTTAGCAACGTATCTCAACTAATTTGGCTATTTTTGCAGCCACTTTTCATATTGACATTTTAAAAATTACATGGAAATTATGAAGAAATATATCAGTTAAACAGAATGGGTGAACATTTATTTATTTTACCACCCCACAAGTAGCCAAACCCGATGAGTTTTCTAGCCGAACCGTTATTATTAGCGTCAGTGTGCAATGTATGCAAATCAAAAAACGTATCAGGATTCAAAACATTAATTTCTTATTATACGAAATATGTCTTTTTCAATCTGAAAAATTGTGTGGCATGAATAATGCTTGCAAACTGTTACTTTAACTAGTTTTGACTGCACACTTGAGATAATAATTACATAGCATGTAAATGTCAACAATTTCGGCTTCAAAATATTGATATCGGCGTTTTTTCGTTGTGGTATCGGTACATCTCTCTAGTTGGAATCTCTAGTATATTGTAATGGCCGTTAATGTAATGTTTAAGATAGATATCCACTTCATGCGTTATTGTATCAAATGATAAGTTGTAAATTACATAGCATGTAAATGTCAACAATTTCTGCTTTAAAATAATGATATCGGCGTTTTATCGACAAGTGGTATCGGTACATCTCTCTAGTTGGAATCTCTAGTATATTGTAATGGCCGTTAATGTAATGTTTGAAATATATATTCACTTCATGCGTTATTGTATCAAATGATAGGTTGTAAGACAATGTACTATTTTACTGCAAACATTAAAAACTCCATTTTAAGCATGTAGTTGGTTACACATACTACTACTAAGATTCATTTCCTCAGCTAGAGACAAAGTTTAATTGTTTCATTTCGTATAATTATATTAAACCCGGGGTTATTTCAAAAGTTATCGGACATTGTATTTTTTATGAATGACCGAATGAATAGACTACTCCATTTAAGGCATTTTCATCTTCTGTTCGTGGTAAGAAAATAGGCATGTTCACGTAAACAAAATCTTGTATCGGTCTTGTCTTCTCATATTCTTGTTTGTTTATTATTATTTCGTATCATTGCGAGTCGGCTATTTAAGAGCTAATTTGCATTAGAAGTTTGTCGTTTAAGTAGTGTTAATTTATTTGCCGTAAATAGCAATATTTTTTGTGCAAGAATTTCTGCACCATTCATAAATGAAGAAATTGTTTTTCTTAAACGGATTGTTTGCTTGTATTAAATTTTGGTTATGATAGGGTTCATTCATATTGCATAAATTAATGTTGCTATTGTTTGCATCTTTTGGAAATGAGTATGGGTCGGTCGTAAACTTTAGAAGCCTTATACAATAATAGTTTTGGCTTCTACATTATACGTTTCGACCTCTATAATAATCATTTTATCACCACACTATTTGTCGTATTTCATCACATATTATTCGTCTCTCGTACTTTGTTTATGTAGACTGGATATTTCACTGCCAGTAATGGACTACAATCATATTCAAAGTTGTGAAGTTGTTGATATCGAGAAAACTGGCAGGTTATAGGTTTAAGGGATGATGGCGCGAAGCATCACCGCCCAGAACGTGATAGGCGTCGTGTAGAGCCTCATCATACGTAATAAGTTGCTCATAATTTACTTCCTTTACTATAAAAAGTATTCGTATTTTGTCCATATCTTTAAAATAATTTTGAGTGGCGAAAAAACAAATCAAATTTAACTAACCTCAAAATACGATTCCGGTCTACTTATAAGTGGCATTTTGGGACGTATTTTATTCAGTTTTTAAATAGTAATTTTTCATTTTAATATTCGTAAAAGTTTTCTCGACTAAAATTCGAGAACGCAGAACACAAATGAATTACTATGAAATTACTATGACAAGATATTTTAATTGCTCGC